TGTCAACATGTAAGTGCTTTTGAGCGTGTGCATGTCTACTTATGTGGCTGGTCAGACACATGTAGATGGGCACACATCGTGTGTGTACATGCATGTGTTCTTTTCTTTTTATCTGTAAACTATATTACTACTGCTACTACAATTATTACCTCCACCAAGGGTGTTGTTCAGAGCGTAGCTCAAAAAGTAATGAATGGATTTTGATAAAGATTTTTGACAGAGCTAGGGTATGGCCTGCAGAAGAATCACACACATTTTGGTACTGATCTGGATCATCATCTGGACCCTGGAATTTTTTTAAAGAATTTTTCACCATTGTGAGTGTTAGAAAGGCTATACAATATGTGTGGGCCCCTTTTGGTGAAAGTGAGCGGCTCTATCCTGAGCACTTGGAGCGAAGATGAGTGAAGCTAGTAAGTGGAGCAGGAGGAATGCTGGAAAACGGACTCTAAAGTCAACTCACATGTATCCAAATGACATGCGCTGTGTGTATCTCAGTCTGCATGGGACATTTATCGAGTTGTTTGTTTTATTTAGCAACTGTTCATGTCAATGTAAATTGTTGAGATAATCTGTTCACTGTGTAGCTTGTTCATTTTGCTAAAGCTGAGATGCTACAATCTGGTAAACTGCTAGCTTTGGACAGTATGTCACTATCCTGCGAAACTTGCTTTTAGGTGTAATGGTATTATGGGGGAACTAAGCTGCCTCGATTGAGGTCTGCGCTCTCTTAGTGCTGCCTAGTTGTTATTATACTTCCACATGTTTCAATTACAGTGCATGTGGATTCTAGCACAGCAGTCTTATGGCGAGTCTGGCAAACTCTTCACTGGTTTGATTTAGTGTGTGTGGGTGTGTTCCATTTATCCCTCTGAGGGACATTGTACCCACAGCATGACTCATTTAGGCGCTGGGCAGCTCAGAGCACACACTCCCCCTAATCTCCACGCTCCCTGGAGCAGAGAAAATGGCTGCTGTTAGCCAATTAGAGCACTGGGACTGGATTAGGTGGACACGCATTGTGTCTGGGAAGGAACAACACTGACAGTAAATGCACTCACATATACAAGAAGCCTTACTGCAGGAATATAAAAAGTTACTTACCTAGACATATGCACAGCATATACTATTCGTGCACCCACACAAAAGCATTCAAATGTGCATGAATGTGCAGCAACTCAAAATGAAGGAGATGATGTTTTTATAAAGAAAGGCTAACAGAGTAGCAGAATCAATGTCTCAGTGCTTCTAGAAGTGAACAAGAAGAAGAGACAGCCTGCAGAGAGCACTTTGATGAACAAACCAAAGTGTTTGGTGCATTAAACGGAAACAACGCAGCCTCCATCTGCTGAATTCAACATTCCCTCCCTCCTAGAAATGGAAACATCACGCTTCAAACTTCAGAGACTGTTTACAGCCTACTGATATCGGGAGCAAAATAACAGACTGAGTGCAGGTAAAAATCACTGAAAGTGGGGGGAATGTGCTGCAGTCAAAGAATATGTGACACCAAGCAGGCCACTGTTTCCAGTTTGCTCTGCATCCTCAGCTCAATCTGTGCTTCAGCTAATTATGCTGTGCTCCTTTATTCCTTTGTCTCGCCTTCTTCTTGTCTCATTCCATCTCCGCCTTTTTTCCTCCAAAATGTGGATTTAATTCAAACTGAGCTCAACCAGAAAGTGCTTTACTTCTGCCTCCTCTCCTTCCTAACCCTCTCTGACCCCCCACCCCCACCTATATTTAGTTGGGTGACTTTATTGCGCAAAAAGGTAAAAGCTGTTGAGAAATACACAAGGAGATCACATTGTGAGGGTTTCCTCATGAATCTTCTGGAGGTTTAAGCCAAGACTGGCCTCTTTTTTTTTTCTGTGCAGCATGTGTCAGGGTTCTTGTGTGGATACATTCAAGTTGAATCTAAACATAAATCTCTTTCATTCTTACTGTACTTGCCCAATATCTGCCATTAAATCCTCGTTTCTTAAGCTGCCAGTACTCACAGTGAAATCCAGCCAGATGACTGACAAAAAGAAGCTGAGTTTCCTGAAACAGCCCCGGTGGAGTCCAGACTTTGATCCTGTAGAAAAATCAGTGAATACAGAGCAGCACTGTAGAAAACGTGTCATGTCATATGTTGCGTAATGCACAAAAACTTTTTTTTTTACTTTTATGCTGGTTTTAAATGTAGCTCTTGTTCAGTGTTATGTATATCTTCTTGTGGGATAGACGCTCTGTGTGAAGCTTTCAGCAGCCGCACACACCCACTTGAATTACCAAGCACAAGAGAAGGCTTGCTATGCTATATAAACGCACTGACATTGATTTTTCATGCTTTACAAACCTCCTCATCACCACTGAGACTAAACAAACCCACTACTGCTGCAGATTTTGTCTTTACCCTGGACATAGCATGTAGCACATCACTGTAGCATCGCAGCCTCTCAGGTTCTGAGACTCGCCCTAATCCTATACCATTTATATTGTCATGCCTTGTCTTTAACTTTCAGTATTCCATCATCTGTTTTAAGATGATCTCTTGTTTGAGTATGTGTGTTCTTTTAAGTGTGTGCTTTATGTTACCTAACAACTTTTCAGTCCACTGTATTGTGGAATGACAATAAAGCTTCTTGATCTTGAAATGAGAGGGGTTTGGATAGTATGTGGAACACTAAGCAATATAGTAGTATGTATGCATGTACGCTTTGATGGAAGTGTGAGGGATACGGCATAGTGTGGGCAAACAGGTTTCAATATCTTGTACCAATCAATATCTTATTATTGTTGTGGTTTAGTCCCCCTCACCAGGAGGGTGAGGGAGAACTGGGGTTGGACTCAAGATGGCTGACCCAGGTGCTAGTACAAAAAAGGAGGTTTAATGGAATAAAAACATGACAACAAAACAGGGTCCATAATACATACAACAAGGGAAGGGCAGTGATGATTAAGGAGACCAGGACGGTAAACACGCAAACTAACGACAGGAACTAGAATAGCAGGAGGATGAGAACGGACAGGTGAACAAAAAGAACCAACGTAAACAATGCAATCCACAGCACAGGGACTGTCAGCGTGGAAGACAAAGCACATATTTCTGTGTTGCTAACCGCATAATTAGCGTGATAAGGTCAAGCCAAAACGCACAGAGACTGTCAGCGTAGCATCTTACACACGTCTAAAAATATGCGGGTCAGACACAACAGTTGTATAACTTACTTTAAGTATAGTATGTTACACGTCGCAATGTTGCGGCGGAGCGTCTGCCAGAGGTATAAATAAGGAAGCCAACAAATCACCGGAATACGCCTCAGGTGTGCGCACCGACCCACGAGTAATTACCTGATGCGACACAGATGAGGCGTTGATCCCGCAAAAAAGGAGCAGGAGAGGGAAAAAGAAAGAGAGGCAGGTCGGGCCGAGCGGACCTGACAATTATGGCCTATTGCAAACAAAAAAAAACAAAAAAAGTGAGTCCTTGTCTTCAACTTCCAAGTCTCAGTGTAGTCGAAGCTCAAATCAGAGTCCTCAGTGCTCGAGGCCAAGTTGAGTCAAGAGTCCTGAATATCAGGGATCAAGTCGGACTTGACTCTGAGTCATGGACTTAAACACTACAACCCGGCTCTTAACCACTCTGCATCCCGTTTTGGTACCTGTGTTTGGTGTGCACTGATCTTGTGGCTGACTTCTATCAATAGTGCATGGAGCATAGTTAATCCAGACTAGTGGAGCGGAGTGTTGTTTTGTATTATGGCTGTGTGCTGCTTTCATATCACATTGCCTTGTGCTCCTATGCCTCATTATTGTGTGTGGATTGTACAAGGGGCTGTGAATTTGCCACGACAACACAGTTGTTGACACTTGAGAATACACATAGGAATGTCTGTGATTGCACCACTGTCGCCTCACAACAAGAAGGTTCTGAGTTCGAACCTGGCTGACCCGGGAACTTGGTGTGCGTCATGTGAGTCTGCATGTTCTCCCTGTGCCTGTGTGGGTTCTCACTGGGTGCTCCGGCTTCCTCCCACAGTCCAAAGACATGCGGTTTAGATTGATTGGCAATTTTAATTTTCTCCTATGAGTGAGTGTGTGTGGTTGTTTGTCCACATGTCAGCCCTGTGAGAGACTGGCGACTTGTCCTGGGTGGACCCTGCCTCTACCCAATGTCAGCTCGGATTGGCACCAACTTTTTCTCTTTGTGAGTGTTGTACAAAAAGAAATCAGTTGGGGATATGGCTTTATATCAGCTAAGGAATGTTTTTCTTGCTGTCCATCCACCTGTGGGAGCGACATTAGATCTCAGATCTATATTATATGCATAGATACAATATCAAAGGCGTATACTGTGACATTTATATTTGAAAATAATATGAGTCTGAGTTTAGGTTGAACATTTAGCCTATGGACTTTGACATTTACAGCATTCGCAAAGGCTGTACTGAGTCAGTATTATTGTACTGGTGTATTGAAAATAATGCATGGTCAGAATTACAGCGTCTGCTTTCCACTTTTTCAGATGTCTGCTGAAAACGGATTCGATAGTGAGAGCAGCTGGTGATTTCCATGTGAGAACGCATTCTGGAATCTGCAATAGCTGCACTGCTCTCACATTTCTTTACCCATTCATCTTCAACCCACACAAAGCACAACGATAACAGGACGCTTGCAGAATCAGGGTTGTTGTTTTTCAAAATGATTAAATTAGACTTTAAGGGGAGCCTTCGGAAAAATTTATGAGCGTCAACCTTTCTGTAAAAATGAAGGTGATTTTCTCGCAGCTTTTATCAACAAAAAAGTGCTTCTGTAAAGTACTGACTGAAGGGTGTACTCACTTAAACATATTTATTGGCTTTTGTTTTTGTTTCCTCAATCAGTTTGAAGGCTGAAGACAATAAAATGGTACATTTGAAAGACTTTAAAGAAGATTTTTGATTAAACAAAATGACTACAGCCTTCTGATGGGGAACTGACAGAGAGTGATGTCAATTTCACAGGTGGGTGACAAGTTAAAGGAACAACCCAAATAAATAAATCAGATGCTGTGGCCTTCACAGTCACCAGATCTCAACCCAGTTGAACAGCCACCAAATGAGGGAATATCATTTGGAAGAACGGGCTTCATCCCTCCAGAAGAGTTCAGAGTCGGAGAATCAATGCACTGAAGCTGTTGTAGTGGCACCATACTGAAACACTTTATGTTGGTTTTTCCTTTTCTTTGTCACCCTTCTGTATGTCAGACCTGAGAAGAGGTTATCATATTCATCAGTTTTCCTTTTCCCTGCCCTTCTGTCTTTCGCTTCCCTCTCTCCTTTCAGTGGAGGGAGCAGTCTGAAGCTTTAGTCCAATAGACTTTAATGTCACTGTTGGCTCTGGTGACATTTGTGCTCAAAGGCAGTTTTTCAATTGATACTGACTGACTGTTGACAAAACTGAGAGAGACACCATGGCAGCAAGCACACCGCTGACTGGTGTGTGCGCACACGTGCTTGCCTGTCCATCTATAGCCTTGTATATTAGTATTCGGTGGTGGTAGCTTTCTGGCACTATGTTCCTTCACGCGTCCCCCAGAGGATTTCCGACACTCTCTTTCTCTCTGTCTGTTTCTTTCTATCTCCGTCTCTGCTGCTCTCCTGACACGGCCTGTTTCCAGACACCAGCAGCCTACGTTTCTTCCACATTGCCATGGAGACAGACGTGATGTCAGTGCTGGTCTGTGGAGGTATGTCAGACTATAAGCTCATTCCCGTAATCACCGTTACCATAAAGATTATTAAAGCACACATTACCTACCTGGGCCACCTGCTGCAAAATCTAATGTTTTCTCAAGGACTGGCAATCAATAAACTCCCAGATGGAGCAAGACATCTTATTTGGCTACCTTTAGCAGCACAGGGACCCAGGCATTAGACACTGGATATTTAGAGACCTAGTGGAAAAGGATAATTTGCAGCAAGCACAGGTGGTAGAGTGTTATGTTCGATTTTGAGGAACAGAAGGCAGGAGAGGCACAACAAGACCGAACAGGCATTTAATTTGTTTTCACTGTTTTGTTGTAAAGAAACACAGAAGAACTTGGCCTTGGAAGTTAAACACTCGGTAATGAGTTTGTTTCGGGACACATACACAACAGTTGTGTACATACAGTATATGATTGGTTTCACATGCCATGCAACCGCCAGATCTGATTTCTTTTGCTTCTGTATAAAGAAAAACGCAGTCTTCTTTTGGGATGATGGTAATGAAACCAAAGCAGGTATGAATGTGAGGATTTGTTCTTGACATTCCTGCGATTATTGAGCCATTAACCGGCTTTTAGCGGAGGAGCACATCTTGGCCACGTGTGACTCATAAAAAACAGTCATGTGTCATATTACTGTAATGATTGCAACTGGTTTGATGAGCACATGATTAAAGCCCTTAACCCTGTCACACCTCCACACAGCACACCACCGCTGTTTCTGTCTGACCTTTAAAATTTAGTCATGATGACCAAAGAGTTGATATAATCAGCCTAAATAACATGTAATGTCCCCCTGGTCTCAGAGAAGTTATGCACTCCACCTCTGGGTCTCAGGTGCCAGGGTAAAGATGTTTCCTCAGTTACAAGGTGGAAGGACTGTAGTCAGTGCTATATTAGGAGTCTGTTGCCATATGTAGGAAAACTGGAAAAAAGATGGTTTGTGGAAAATGTTTGTTGTTTATTTGAACTTGTTTAACAATATTCCACTACATTTACTCGTTTAATGGTTTTTTTGTTTACTTCTCATGATTTATTTTTAATTGTAATATATTTTCGTATACATTGGAATGTCAGATAATCAATCATATGGATTAAATCTCCGTGCAACCTTTCAAGCCACTCTGTAAACATTTCTGATGCAAATTATTTTGACAACACGTGGCATTTTCACTGCTAAGAACTGCATTTTGGAATTGTAAATACCCACACAGTTAAAATGTGCATTGTAGCTAAGTGCACTGTAGCTCAACCAGTTCTAATGCTTGTAACGTGCACAGATAGCTGAACCATTAAGTGTCAACGAGATGCTGCTGTTACTGTTGTGTTTGTTTCATGGGATCATAGGTACAGAGCAGCAGCAGTGCTGTTAACCAAAGACCATATGTACACTGTGAACTTGTGCTGCACATAAATGATAGACTAAGACTGTTTTCTCTGGAGAAACCACAGTATTAGTAGCTTGTTTAAATGCTTTCACACACCTGAGTTTCAGGAGCTAACCTCAGTTTGTGCCTCTCATCTGTTACTATTACATTCCAATCACAGAGCTAAGCCTCTGGTTCTTCTGAACCCTAGCAGTTCATTTATTTTTTGAGAAACTCCAAGATTCTTCTAATCATCAGAATGAAAAAATACTCAGTTTCCTGCACAACAAAAAGATTGTTTTAACTAGTTTCCCAAGTTGTGGCTTCAACCTTAATCCAACCAGCCAGTAGCTGAAAATACAGACTATGTGTTGATCAATTTGCAGAGTAAAAATATATTATTTTCACACAGAATGACACGGTTTCTGAAAATTGAGTGCTAAGTACTGTTCAACAGCTGTCAGGGTTGAAAAAGATGTCCAGATATTTCCATTTCAGAAGAGGAAGTGGTGTGTAGCTTTGTAACTTGAGTTAATGGCAATATGAGAGCTGCAGCCCGTCTCTAAACAGAGACTGACAGAAGGAAAATACAGTGGAAAAACAAAGCAGGATGATTCTGCTTCAACCCTGAAGGCTGTGCTTGGTGATGGTTAAGGGAAGTAAACTGCTTGTTAGTGGAAACCCAGCAGAATTAAAGGAACAACCTGAATAAATGGTCTCTTCCAGAATGACAATGCCCCATCTGTAGAGCACTAGGGGTCACTAAATGTTTGGATGAGCATGAAAATGATGTGAATCATATGTTATGGCCTTAAGTGTAGGAACAATACACCAAATTCTGGCGTTTTATCTGGACAGTTTAACCCCATTCAGATGTTCTGAAGCAACGATATTAGTATCCCACGGTTAACACATCAGTCATCTCAAAACATGAAAATGTTTATATTTTCCTAATTCTCTTTTTTTTTTAATCTATATTACCTTCTTTGTGGCCGATGCCATGTTATAGGGTAAATCAATACTTTATTGTACAATGGTTTTAAACTGGCTCATCATCTTGTACACATCCCTGATATTTAACCTCTACATTTATTATCTGTCAGTCTGAGCGGACACACTCATTTCTGGCTTTCTGAAGCTGACAGCCAGCTCTCTGTGGTGGAACGTCTGCTCCGAACAGCCGGAAATAATCAGCAAACTCCTTCCAGCTGCTCTTCAGAGAGCCATTTCACTTTGCTGCACCTTGCAGCGTTTCAGAAGCCT